GCACCGCCATTCACTCCAACTATCACCCCTGCACCGCTGACCCTCATTCCAAAAGAATGTGCTGGTTGGGCGACATAACAGGTTACCGCTACTGTTTATTCCAAAAACATTGTGCGTCTTTCGGTATTAATTTATCTCTAAACCCAGCATTTTAAATTCTCAGGAACGATCATTGCGGGAAAATTGTGGGCCGGGACTACGATTTTTGAACGATCGATGCGATAAAACGATAGTTCGAGGAACGATAGAAGCGGGAAAATGTAACATTATTTTATATGGGATGTATTCGGGACCGAACAAAACGGACGATGCATCCGGGAAAACGATAGTTCCGGGAACGATGGATAGAGGTTTCACTGTACTGACTGCTGATTTGAGTGTCACAATGCTACATGTGCTACAGTAACATCTGACCATATGCACAGCATTGTCATCCTTCAGTACATTACACACTGCAATTTCCTTACAATAGCTGGCTACCTTCTGCGTTCTAAAGGTATTCGATCAGCTTCAAGGCTCTCCCACTGTTGGGAAAGATGGCTGACACACCGGGAACATGCTAAGATACGTCCGTGAGAATCCATGCAGGCATTTTCTGAGGTACAGGCAATACTGCGCAAGCATGGGAAGTGCATTGCATGAGAGTTCATTCCTTCTGGACTTGTTGATAACCATTTCATATGGGATCTTGGGAAGAGACCTGTACAGAAACCATAAAGAATTAACTACTTTATAACATTTATTTACAGTTTTATTTGCAGTAGAAATTAAAACATTCACTCTTTTAACTGCTCTGAACAATCATCTTAAAACAAACCATTTTCAGTAAAAATGAGATTAAATTAAGCTTTCTTACATTCAATGGACTAAACTTCTCATTCCACCACTACATACATCTTTCTATTGGGGTATGAGAAGGAAATCAAGTACTGAAGTACAATGGGCAATATGAAGCAAAGAATGTGGTCAGTAAAAGAACTTACAGCAACACATTAGCTGAAGTGTATCACAGGACTGAGTTTAACCAAAATCTCTGTTTTTCAGAACATGTTCTTCAGTGTTGTTACTTCTTCATAACATAAATTCCTTCAGGCTTCTATTATTACTTGTCTAGTGACTTTGTCTGAAGTGCCCCACACATGACAAGACATTCCATTCAAGCACCCCCTTAAATATGACATGGTCCACATATGCAAATCTACCATTTGATATGGCTCACATGGAAGCTATGATATGATTTTAAAAGGATTAACTTTACTGTATATAACGGTCCTCAATGACAGAGATTAGCAGCTAATACAATGATGGAGAATAGGGAAAATTATGTAATGACAAAGTTATCTGATTTCTGATATTTATATGAGTATAAAATGCTTATAAGCTTTCAGTCTATAACCACAGGGTCAGTCGATAGTAAGTTGCCAAATAGACCGGTGTACGTCTTTCCCAATCCTACATTAACAAACCTGCTTCTCAGCCATCTCTCAACTGAAGAAAATTCATACAATATTTATACGTGGTTGTCGGAAGAAGGCCTTTCATGAAATAAACATTATACACCTTGTTTGCGACACAGTCACCCTTTTTTTAACTCATGCATATTTCACTGTGCAGGCCTTGCTACTTTCCAATTGCATGACTTTATATCGAATATGAGTGTGTACAATAATTATGGAAACAAAGAGAAACCGAAACAACCGTCGTTTTGTCATTTTGCTTCTGAAGACATACCGTTATGAAAAAAATGATGAACTGATTACAAAGGAAGTAAATGTAAATCATTGATATTGCAGATATCTGCTAAAACAACAAAAATATATGATCACAGAAAAAATTGCAGCATGCACATTTACAAAAACAAAGAAGGAATATCAATGAATAACAGAGTAAATGGACAAGAATCATTAGAAAATCAACTGTGATTTTAAATGTTACTTTGATTAAAAAGCATTTGTACTTCAAGACATGTATAAATTGTGTATATCGTTAGTTCTTTATAGCGTTACTTTAAAAGCAAGCCAATACAATGCCTTAACTTAACAGTAACACATTAGAAATTGAAATTAGAAATGGTTTTACAGGAAAAAGTACTTGAATATCTAGTATTTATTAAGATTCCATTATGATGACAATGACCATACCTGCACAGATGTAGCAGCGATAATTCTGCTGACTGCCGTTACTTGAATTGGTTGCCATGATTTGCTGCCCACTACCATTCTGTTCAGATACAATGGGTCCAGGAGATGCAGATGTTACATTTCCCACACTACCACTACGCACTGATCCTGTATCTCCCGTACCACCAGTTGATATTTTTCGCTTTGCTGCTGAGAGAGAAACTCCAGCACTTGGATTTTTGCTGCTTGTAACCAATTCGTATGGCTTGAAACGTATATCGCTTCCACTTGCACTAGCTGGCGATTTTACAACTGCGGGGCGAGGAGAGAGGCCTTGCCTCCGAACTGTTTCATTGTCTTCTACTTGATGATTGTAGGTTCCACCTCCACTAAATACTTGATGTTTCTGAGGTATTGTTTTGAAACAAATTGAACACACCTACATACAAATAACATAATTAATACACACATCAAAATATATATTTTAATACCAGCATTAACAAATAAAATTGTACAAAATGTTTACACTGCATATTTTCACATTTTCTTCTATATACTGAGTCAGTTACATATGTCTATAAAGTTTTGGAGAATTTCTTATGCCCTACTCTTTTGTAACAACCGCGCTACAAACATGAATGGTGCATAATATAAAAGATAAACTGTGAAAGTAAACTTCCGTTGTTGATAATGTTCAATCTGACATCCATTTATTGCTTTAAAAACATCCATTCAGAAGTAAAATTCTTTCCACACCTGACATGAGCAGTGTTTCTGACTCTTCACTTTAAATGGTCCATGTTATAGTATTTTTCAGCGGAACTGGCGGCTGAGTCAAGTTCTCACATGTTCTTTGCATAGCGTTGTATCCATTCAATGGAAACCAATGTTCCACGATGCTACATCTGGCACCACTGTATTTTGTTTCCTCACTTTCTTGCCCCTCCACCTCCCACCACTACTTCCTACCATGGCACAGTACACGTGATTGGTGCACGCTTCAGCCGCCAATTCCGCTGAAAACTGTTACAATCAATCTCCACTCTCAACACGGTTCATTTTATACAGACTCACAGACAAAAGTAGTAGACGAAGGTAAGGAGATTTAAGTGGCCAAGGTCATGAGCTACTTCTTCCCATCCATCAGAATGGGAAATGCTCACTCAGACTTATATGCAATATGTAAAATTTTTTACCTATCTAACAGAGAGTATCTAAAATTAAAAAATTTACATATACATAAACAAGCTTAAACATACCTGGACCACTCCTTGGGAAGAGATCGGAACAGCCCCAGGAGGTCGCTGCAGTGTGCCAATGTTTGGAAAGTAAGGTTCCTTTTCTGGATTTGGACAACAGTACAGCAAGCGAATTGATGATGAAGGATACTCGAGAGCACATGTATAGCAAATGAATGTTGTGGTATCAAGGGCAGGAGCTGGCCTCTTCCTTAAAGCATAATTACGTTCTGAATGAGGCACTCCCTGTACTGTATAGGCATGCCACTGTTGTAACAGATGACGTTGACATGCTTTGCATGCCTGAACCTGCAATAATAAAATGTAGAATGATTTGTAAAGATTCTTGAACCACATTACACAGCAATTACCTCTTTCTTGTTTGATCAATAAAAAGACAAAATTTACATAACTTTATTATAAGCAAGCATAAAAAACTACTATGAAATCAACACTTCAGATTTAAATTAAAACGGGATTGAATATGCTTAATGATGGCAGAATTCTAAGAACATATATTTATTTGCACATGCACATCTGTCAATTGCTGTAATTACAATTGACAGACATGCATAATATGAAGTGTAACAACAATTTATGAGTTAACAGAAACAGAACACATATTCAAATGAAAAAATTAGAACTTTAAAACATTGTAGCACAAAACATAAGGGAGACCTACAAACAATGACAATTTATATTTGTAAATAAATGTATAAACATGTCAACAGGTGTAAAATATGTGAGATTTGAAGTTCTTATGGTAGTGAGTATGAAGATAGTTGTCTTCTGGATTATTGTGCCCTGTAGTCTAGTAGACGTTTACAGATGTTTTAGAAATTACTTCCTGCCTCTATTACCAGAGCAAGAAGAATGCCAAGATCCAGCTGGTTCCCATATCTCAAACCAATTGCTTGCATGAAGCTTACTAATTGCTGTGATGACGGAAATAGCAAGTACCTCTGAACCATTGGTAAACTTATACTAGATCACATGACACAATATCCCACAAGACAGCCATCTTAAAAGTGTAAAATATGCTTTAGCATATGCACTTTTCAATCACAACATATACTAAATATGAAAGTACATTATATATCCAACATCTTACATTCTAATTAAATAATAACAACAGACATTCCACAGGGCTTCAAACATACCTAAAATTAGTACAACTATTCAAAATATACTTATTTATGCCTTTATATAGAAGTGTAACTAACCCGTCCAGCTGAATCCATGGGGCGTGATCGTCCAGGCCGAGGATGCAGCATAAGAGAGGGAAAGAAAGGTGGTGGAGAAGATGACTGAGGTTGAGGGGAGGGAAGGGGTTTGGCTGCAATATGACATAGTGAGCCACGTTTATATTCATCACCACAGACATAACACACTTCTGTGGCTGAGTTCTTGTCAGGCATGCTCAGATCTAAAATATCTGCACCCATCACACTGCTACCGCTGCCACTTGTAGGATAACCACCTGCAAATATATAAAAGTTATTACAAAACATACAAGAATCCAAGTAAGATGGTTTTAAAGGTTTGTGATAGTGGCTTATTATTGAAATGGAAACAGTTTCTTTGTGCACTACCTACTGTCTGGGGACATATATATTTAGTATATGCATGATATTTCCAAGGCTGGCACTGGCTCCATTTCCATCATCAGAAAAAGAATCATGTGGAGATCTTGGATGAAGTTAATCCTTATCATTTGTACACCTTTTATTTCATCTGAAGATAAAGCCATAGCCAGCTTCAATAAATAATTATGTCACTTTTATGATGGACACTGTCCAATGTAAATTTGATACACAGAACATTTGTGACAATGGCTCTACTATCATCTCAAGGCGCTTCATTGTCTATTTAACTCTACTTGTGATATTTTGGATTCTTTATCTTATATGTTTTTAGGTAGCCATGTGGGTCTTACATCTAGGCTTGATTATCTAATAGCCTATCCTTTTATTCTAATGAACACCAACCTCTTCAATAACTGTTCCCTTCTTCATTAATTACCTCTGCTTTGTCCCACTGTATTGAACAAAGCCCAAAGAAAATATTCCCATAACAACTATCAAACTACTGTTAACAAAACCTTTAGAATGGCATTACATAATAAGGTACAGACCTGGTATAAATCTTTCCTTCATAAAACTAGAATATTGAAAAATTCATTAGCAAAGATCAAAATTCATATTCCCTTTCTAAGTGGAATGTAAATTCAACAACACAATACCTAATATGCTGCAGATAACAAACTTCAAACACTAAAATGTCTAAACACTCAAATCAACCTCTGTTCTACTTTAGGGCAAAAGAAAGTCCCTCACAATAAAAATGAAGGTCTCTATCCCAGTGACAAAGGCTAACATTTCATGGGAACCCAAGACTAGGTATCCTTTACTTTTACACAGTTTTCACAATTGTCACATATTCCCATTTATCTATATTTTATTTCTTAAAGCATCTCACGATGAAAATAAACTACAATACTTGCCCAAAGTGTTGGTTTACAGCATTATTATTGAAATTAACTTTTCAGTGCTATGCAGGATAAAGTAAATGCCATACATAAAAATCACCAACTGCAAGTTTAAACTTCAAAAGCTATGGTTTGTAATCCTGTACACTTCCCAGTGGAACTACTGTGTGTTTATTCATAAGATATGCATACATGTTGGGTCCTGCACTTTTAATAGCTTACAGCTAAGAACAAACTTAAAGTAAACGATCTATTTTTCTTCCATGATACAATTTTGCATCTATTACATCCTTTCATTTTGGAAACCACTTGTCACCATTCTTACACAGAAGACATACTAAACCAATGCTATTGGACCACCCTACTCTACCCTATGCTTGGATACATGGAAAATGGCTTGCCTCTTGTATGGCCAGGGAATAAATGGACTTATTATGCACAAAAAAAAATCATTAACCTTGAGTGAGTGTGCTTACCTTCTGACAATATATGTATTCTAATACCTCTACTATACCTGAAAATAATTTTTTGAAGTACTTTATACACTTTCTGAAATATAAGTGATTTAAAATGAGACCCCTTCACAGTAATTTGTAATTTTGAAAACATGAAATTGTTACATGGGCAAACATGTTAGATATGCCATGTGTGCTTGGTTTTTGGCCAAAAAGTGTTTCACCAAAAGTGCAATGTCATGACGCCAAATCTCCTTGTTCAGCCAATGATTTGATTTTTTTGACTAGTGTGCTGTCATAAACACTACAAATCTTGAAGGCAGAATGCTTAATTGGCTGTTTTCAAGGAACACATTTATAATGCAATCACAAAAAATAACTGAATCACAATTAATGTTTTACACAAAAATTAATCATGAAGTCACATTATCCAACATGTACCAACTCACCAGTCTTGCCAGCTGCTGCACAAAAACATCAATTCAGTTATCTTCACAGATTGAAATAACATGAAGAGGAGAGTTGGGTTTATCAGGAAATAAAGGGCAGATTCTCAAGATATCTCATTTGATTGTATGACCTGTGTAGCCAATTCTGAGGAAGTAGTCTGCCTTGCTGAATTCTTAAGGCGAGACCTTGCTAACTGAAGATTACATCTGGCTCAGGTCCAAACAGAATCCTGAATGCAAAGGAAAGTGACCGAACAAGAAGACCCATTTATTATTCAATAAAATCTGGACAGTGGCCTTTTGTCTTGGAGATGAGATGATTTTATGGACTGAATGCTGATAGCAGCAAACAAACTTTACTGGAATCTGTGCTGATATTACCTACTGGCTGGCCTTGTTGAGATCACTCTGACAACACTTTATGTACATCAGTAACTAAGAATAGTTTTGTGGATTTTTACTATGTCTGATACTGACTTCTAAATCTTATAGTCTAGTGAGATTCTGTTTAGTAAATGGCACAATTTTTAACCTTAAAACACAGTTTGGACTGCCATACCTCTAATACCAATGGCATTAAGGTAAAAACCTGATGGTTTCATTGCCAAAATTTTGACAAACTTCAAGTAAACACTAATCTGACTAAACTTTATCACAAATGTTTAACCTGTAGCCACTTCAGATATCTAAATGTTACTGCATCATACACATTTCTGTTTAACAGTACATACAACACTGGTGTTAGCTGAGTGGTCTTGTTCTTCTATGATAATGAAAGCATCAAATCTCTTGATTTATTTCAAACACTGTAACTTTCTGTGCATTTATAATGAAGCATCAAATTTGTTACATACTGAAACTGCCATTTCTTACTTCACATGTTATCCATAATGAAAGGCTGGATCCTTCCCTTTGCTGAAAAATCAAATGCTAAAATTGTTTGGGTAACTCAAATCAAGAACTTGTTAGCAGGTTGCATAAGCATTGTATTTTGTGATGTTTCAAGACCATTTTTTGTTTCTAAGGTGGCACCCACATTTATATCACCCTTTCAAGTAAGCACTATCATGTGAGCCATGAAAATAGCCTGTACCAATTTCCCTTCTTTTTCATGTTGAAAGATTGGCTCAATCCTCTAAATCAATTATACCTACCCTTAATATTATGAAGAAAAATACTCAAATCTTTACAAGTTACTCTTCATGAATAATGTTCTTCTCATGTTCACATTTACTTTTGCATGGCTCAACCAGCATTCTCTATTCTGGAAATACTCTCCACTAATGAACAATTATATCCATAACCTCATAAGGAACACATAAAAGAACAAAATTATGTTGTTCAAGAGATGCCAGAAGTAAACAATTCTGTCAGAAAGTGGTCACATACAAGAATGAAAGTTTAAAAATGTATGTAATATAACCAGTCATGAAAATGTGACTGGAATATCACCATAAATTAATGTTTCCTTCTGGCACGTCAAACGATGACAAAGCCTTCCTTCTCCATACATTCTCTATCCTCCGATACAACTTGTACTTGTATCTGTGTCAATGCTTTCCCTATTCTCTTTTCAACATCCTCCCTCACTTGGTCTCCCTATCCAGTCCTCTGTCTATATGATTCTCTTCACGCTATCATATAGATGGAAAATTCTCTTGAAGTTTGTCTTATATCAGCTGGCTTAGAAACAGGTATCAGACCTAATCCTTTCAGTCTCCTTATTCTGTACACTGCAGTTCACATGCCTTTATCTACCAGATTTATTACAATCGATTAACAATCTTAAACACTCTAAGGCTGTCCAAAGTTACCTGTAGATGCAGGTGCTGGGGACTCCCTAGCACCACCATGGCGCAGGTCTAGTGCTGCTTCTGACCCACGCGAATCTTCAATACTCATCGAAATAGCAGATGGTGGAGGAGCAGGAGCTGATGATGACAGCAGCGGGGATATACCTGGACGGATGACAGCATCATCATGTGACAGAGGTCTTGCCACAGGTTCTCTACACATGAATCACAAAAGGAAGTTTGTCTTCATTACATGAAACATTGCTCATTCTTCAATAATACACACTTCAACATTCCTGTGCCTCATAAAAAAAGTTAGAACTTTCTTGTCAGTTGGAAAAGAACAGTGCAGCTTAAACATTTTCATAAGAAAAGAACTGTACCATCCTCACTGCTGAACTATCGAATGTCATTAAACAGTGTTCAGCAACCCAAAACTACTTCTGTAACCTCTTCTATAATGGAAAGTTTATTCAGTTCAATGTTTGTGAACATCAGAATGGAAATAAAGCAAAATTCAACAGAATTTATAAAATGACAAAACAAGATACTAGTAAATTAAACATTGTTCTTTGGTGAAAACTGTGTCTCTGCTCATACATAATATACCATGTACGATACCAAAATTCCCACTTCAAATAACTATGAAATGAAAGGGTACTGAAATTTTTGTATTCCATCATCAAATCACATCAGCAGCCAGTAATAATTCTGAGTTAGATGATTGTGTGGCTTATAATATAGAATATGATAAAAACCACTGCAACTTCTTTCATTTATGTATAATGCTGATTTAAAGTTCACCCTGAATGGCAGAATTTGTCAATTTGCAAGTTTACTGTACTTTGAATTAGGCCTACTTCAAACTGAACACTAGCTTCGCACAAAGAAAATTTTATGATACAGAAATCAGTCTTCATCATGAACTTTGAAACTTATACCTAGCTGAATTCACATAAACAGATATGTGACACAAAAAAGAGACTATTTTCAAGGGGAATATATGTATTTTGCTGCATATGAGCATGTGTGTATATCCATTTATACATTTGTATGCGTTTCTTTGTGTATGTCATCTGGAGAAAGTGTGTAGGTCTGAGTAATGTGTTTTTGATGGGAAGAACCAGGATACTCCTCTAACTCTATAAGTCACTTCATACAATCATAGCCTGAAGAGGGGTGGATGTGATTAAGCTCCACAACCAAGCAAGATGATGTTGAATACATGAATACATCAGATTTCAACAACAATTTCCAGTATGACTGACCATTTATAGTGCACGAGTGATGACTAAAAGTAGCAGGATTTTACTCCTCTCTTCAAAATGTGGATGCTTTCCTGTAAATTAAACCTGTTACTGCATGTGTCATAACAGTTGATATCTTGTCATATTCGTATCATTCTGCCCACTAGTTTTAAAAAAATGTAGCTACTAAAATGTCCATCACAGATTTGTCAACAGAATGGGAATACTGAATAAAGTAGTGCTTTAAAAATACAATCATACATATTAAGGTAAAGCAGGCCTACATTACGAAGTAGTCATTAGCAAACCCATTACAGATTTACAAGGAGAATAAGGTTACAAAATGATGTACTGCTTCAAAAACCAACAACAGATTTAATGGCACAGTAGGACAAATTGATGCAGTGCTTGGCAAAAACCATCACCATTCTATAGATAGAGGACTACAGAAGAACTAGTGCTTCAGGGTCAATTATGGACTTATGGATACAACAAAGACATGAGAAAAAAGATGCGTGCATTTAGTTAAAACAGGCACAGAAAATTCTGAAAATGATGAAAAGTGCTTTCGCAGTAATGTGTTCTAAGTAGCACAAACAACTTTTTATGGGATGTGAACTGAAGATGCAACCTGCAGTGATTTAACAAACAATAATTTATTCATGTTGGAGTATGTTCGTGAATAGTGAAATCAAAGTCTCAAACATTTGAAATAAACTTAAACATTTTGAACATGACCAGCTCATCACATGCAAATTCCATGTCATGTAGCATCATCCTTTATCAAATACTACAAACAGAATGATATGCGCAACGTAAACAGAAAAAGCGCAGGAAGAACGTACATTTCACATACCTGGGCACCTAGCAGTTAAAATTACAATTATAATGAAGTATGAACTCAGCTGATGCCAAGCATGAAACAAAGAAGAGAAACACTGGCAATGTTAAAATGTCTGCACGCCAAGCAGAAAGATAATTATACTGACATGTGAGCTCTGATTGTGTCAGTTTTGCACAAAGAAACAGAATAAGTGAAACCAAGTCAAAAGAAATGATGAAGATGTAAACAACACCAACCAGCTGATTTATATTTTGGTTATTATTATTGAAGGTAATATGCTGATTTCAGCCAAGACTTCAACCATTACGAATCCAGAGCACCTTCAGGTGTCAAAAGCAGTTTTCAGCTATTACTGAAATCCTTTGGATCCTTCATAAATTTGGATTTAAAGTGACATACTATAGTGCCAGAAAGGAAAAACACTTTTCTAAACAACAGAAGCTGTAAATCCTATGAGAAGTGGATAAAGGGATGAAAAAATGTGATGTAACTAAGAAAAATGCTACTATGCAATGTTAAACTCCTTCACATTTTTAAAATTTAGAATAGAACTGTGGAAAATACGTTTCATGTTAACACTGTGTGACAATGACATGTGAAGCTTGTGTGACTGTGTAGTATTTCTTCAACCCCTAGATAAATAATGATGTGCGCATAGACTTCAAACACAGTGATTATTTTTACTTCATAGTGGTGACAGAGTTACATGGAGGTATACCTCCACACAGTAACTCTAGCAACTGAGTGGTCAGCTACATGCCCCAGCTGTCTTATACTTGCTGCATGTACCTACTGGAGAGGAGACTTGGTGGCACCCCAGAATATGTCTGCACATGACAGCAACCAGACAAATCTCTGCATCTATCAGGAATCAAATCCTGGTCACTCAGGCCACAGCCAGTCAGTGTACAAACTGAGTGCCCAAAAACAATGTTATATAAAGAAAATGTAAATAGTAAAAATATTTGTCTCACTGACAGCTACAATGCTTTGAACATTATCTAGTCAGTAATAAGGCTTTCAAGTAAACTTGTAGTCCATGTTGTTAAATTCAGACCAAGATTACATTTTATCAATCCAGTACACTGAAGGACTCACAAAACCAAATGTCATCAAGGCCCATTTATGCAAAACAGTATACCTAAATGAATGTGTACAGACAGACATTGTGAAGAGAATAGGCACTTGCACACTATTATGCATTTGCCCACAAATTATATCAGTTCAATGTAGACAGTGTCCATCTACACAACAACTTTTGATTATTCTCAATGTTTATTAACTGGTCATCTTTAGGTGGTTCTGTACAAGTGCTCAAAACTAATAGATATGAATGCTAAATTATACACACATTTGAAACAGATCAATTTTTGCATGGATCTGTGCAATTTTTATACAAGTATTTGCAATAGTTATGTACCTGGAAGCATAGGAAGTTTGACCTAGAGTAGAAACATAAGCTTTTTTTCTCAGGTTTAAAAGCACATGCTGGAATGGAAGGAAGACGATTATAAGTTGTATGGCTATTTCATGAGATGCTGCTTAAAATATATGATAGTTCAAGCTGTCTATGAGTTAAAAGCCCTTTGGGTTATTAATCTTGGAGGTAAAATGAAGCTTTCTTGTTATACCTTTACTGATATGTGTTGTTATGAAGGCAATTATGAATACTTGTAAGACAATCACACATATCCAAGTAAATCTTATCTGTTTCAAATATGTATACAATTTAGCATTCAAATCTATTAGTTACAAACACTTAAAGAGAACCACCTAAGAATGACCAATGAAGGTCAAAACATGTGGTGGATCTTAAACATTGAGAAGACAAAAAATTGTAGTGTAAATAGAATGTTAACCAAATGATTCAAAAGCAGGCTGGAACAAGTACACTGAGAAGCAAGGGGAATATTTTGAAGAATAACAAATAAACTTTGTAACAGCAACATGTTTTTACCATATTTAAATGATTCCTCATACAATGTCATTACACATTACAACTTCAAAATTGTTCTTACCTTTGAGAATTGTCTGCAGCATTTAAACCCAGAACTTGAGCAGCATATTCACCCTGCAAAGCCATTTCTGCACCCGTGAATGGACCATTGTCACACCGCTTTAGCCAGTAAAGACGTCTAGGAAGAAGAAGAAGAAAAATGAAAGGATATTGAAACATATTAGGTATATGTATGAAAGGAAATTAATAGCCAAAGTATGCCTATGTCTTTAACACAATGTTAACAGAATCATCTACCAACAAAGTTGATGTTAGAGCCACCTACCAGCTGATGCTTTGTATTATCATAATCTCACTTAGTGTAGTTATATTTTTAATGGAGAGGGGCAAAGGTACTTTATGTATTTGAATAAAGCAAACACATTTTTAAATGTACCTTGGATCATGTTTATTCACATAAAAAATGAGGAAGTTCTTTTACTTCCACTGACTCTACAGCTTAGTTCTGGATTACAGACTGATGAATATAAAATAGAAGAAGATGTACAAGTGTTCCCACCTCCAATATTATATAGTTTAGAGCATACAATCTGTGAACATGACCTATACATATATAATTAACTTTAAAGATGTAATAAACAAACAATGAACTCCACAGAGGAAAACCCTTCTTGAGGAGACAATACTCACTCTGCTAATCAAGAAATTCCCCATCTTTTATAGACCCTTAAGGATCATTAATAAGTGCAGTGGTCCTGATCCCAAGGCACATTAATCCAGTCCACACCCTTCCATTTTATTTCTGTAATATCCATGTTAATGCTATCCATCCATAGCTAGTCTTCCAGTGGCATCTGCACTTCAGATATTAGTACCAAAATTCTCCATACATCCCACATGATATTTTAAGTATACAAGAAGTACTACTGTCAAGATTTCTAAATATGAAGACCTAATTAAGTATTGTAGATTGAATAGTCTGATGACTAACTACATAACTCTATATAGCAATATACTTCTTGAGAAACCAACAATACTCTCACAAAAGCCTCAAAAGGTAAAATGCATCTATCCTGAGCAAGATGAACTGAATCCATATCCTCCAACTCAATTTACTGAAGAATCACTTCAATATTATCCTCCCATCAGAGCCTAGGACTTAGAAGTGGTCTCTTCCCTTCAGGCTTTACAACCAAACTTTTGTATGCCCATCAGTATGCAGTGAAATAATTTCACATCAAGTAAACAAAACAACATAAATAGTACCATATTGTAAAGATATACCCTGAACTGGTTGTAAGAGACTAAGTCATGTTCTCTTTATGCTAATATTACAAATAGCAACAATAAGTAACAACTGAGACTTCAACTGTAAAACTGCAGCACCATTAGATAGATGCTGGGTATAAACATAAATTGTGCTAAACCTTTCTCAAACATAACATATGGGTACCTCACTAATCTCCAAACTTACCCAGTTTTCATAAACATATATTTCCTACTTGACATTGGGACCATACACCAAAAAAATATTTATTGTTTGCAGTGTTCCAACAAATCCAGGTTCTATTTTAGGAATAATTTACTGCACCCATCAAATTCTTATTTAATAAATCTGTTTCACAGAACTGCTACTGTGCATTCATACCTAGGGTGAGGTGTAGCATCACGTTCATAGCAGTCCCACTGCTGCATAAGAAGAGAGTAACAAAGATAACATGCTCGTACAGCTGTTGGTGCTGAATCTGTTTCCAGTCTGTAACCAGCTGGTGGTTCATGGGACTCTAAAAATGGAAAGTATGCCTCATTGGGTCCCCCAGAAGGACTTGAGCTTGGCTTTACTCTTAACCAATACTGTTCAGGATGTCCCACATTTCCACACACAAAGCACACTGAGCGAGGACTTTGTTGTCCATCCAGTCCAGTACTGGAGGTCACAGGTGGAGGTTGGAATGTTGCTTCCATGCTTCCTGGTTCTTTTTTGATGTACATATCTAACGAGCAGTATACCTGAGAGGGCCTTACAATGCCTTCAAATAAAATCTGTTTAATTTTATGCTTTGTAGACAGCAATAACAATTTGCTTAAATATGAACATCACTGTTGAATTTTCCTACTAGCCTGTCTTCCATACCATAGTTACACGGCACGTTCATTAGCTACATTTCACTTGTAGCATGTTAAAGATTAAATTTAAGACTGGCACTGCAAACGAAGACCATGAGACGCGTTCATGACTAAACATCAATCCAATTACCTCTCTCACGTTTAAGGTGTATAATCAAAGCAACATATAAGATCAAAATACAGTATCTTATTTCTTATGTAGTTTTACGCACTATTTATTTCACCAATAAATATATAAGCGTGCTCCCATTTCCGGGAATCATGAAGTAAAACCACCACTTTCGACACTTTCCCATGATCGTCGTTATCTAAATCAGAGTCTGCCATACGTTCCAGCAACATCGAACTCTCTGATTTGTCTTGCTTCAACTTTGATATAGTTATAGTGGTGAAAGTGGTAAATAAGTAGTTTATTAAAACTCATATATTAAGTTATAAACCGATATTAACTGCAAAAAGAAGACATTATATAGTTTTAATTTCAAGCGCCGCAAATCCACTTACAACGCTGCCATGTTAAAAATTAATAGAATTTCACTCCCACAATGCACTTCTTGGAGGTTTACGACGATCGTTGTGCACACAAAACGACAGCGAATGGCTGCAAGTTTGGGCTGTAACTGTTTCTTTCGATTAAGATTGCTTTGGAATGAAGAAACAGCAGATGAAATAGATGGAAAATATTTCAAGGAAAACAGTATTACCTTTGTGACTGGATTTATTCTTTCAAGACGAAGATGAGCGTAACCATAAGCCGCCATAATACAACTATCAGGATCAACGTACACACACTGCTTATGTCATCTGTGCTCACTAGCCTTTTAGAAATGATGTTCCTTTCGTAAGATGTTGACAATGTATTGACATACGCACAACAAATGTAGTATCGAGAAGTCGGCCTAAATTAAAAAAATTGTCCCCCGACAGTGGTTTCGTGCCGGTACATTTTCGTAAATGGGATCACTAATGTTATAATTATAAGCAATTAAAGTTGCACAATTTAAATTCCAGGTGTACAGGCCACCATTGTTACCTACCAGCACTGATTAATCCATATTAGAGCCCCATCCATTTTAATATAATCCTACCATATTTACCTTGGTATTCTATAAATCACCAAGATAATTTTAAACTAAATGCTGTACCTACTTCTTGTTTCCACCAAATGGGTCACGCTTGGCTTGTGTTTGCCCAACAATGTGCATACCATAAAACTTATGCAATTTCCTTCATTCCCACTTTTTGCATCTTTTATGCCTATGATACATTGTAATTTTCAAATAGTTTCAATTCATGTCATCTCAGAGTAATATACCAAGTTATATCCATATAAAGTGGATGTCATACCATCAGATACCGGCTTCTCACTGCAGACCTAGGTATGATTCCAAATGACCTCAAGTGATTTGTGGTGAATAAATTGGTGTTGGAACAGGTTTATTTCCCAAAGTTCTTTGTTTTTCCTTTGCTAACCATCATTTTACCAATGCTCCAAGACAAATCTGTCATTGTCTCTTGAGGTGTGCAACAGCCCTAACAAACAGCACTTTATCACACAACAGGCCCAAAGTTACGGGTTTCCTCTCTGAACCAGCATTTGGCTGAGGTTAGAGTAAAGATAGATTGATGACCATCTTCTGGGTTGTAATGCCATGTAGTCTGGTAGATATTTACCATTTCAGAGTCCAGACTACATGGCACTACAACCAAGGCAGCCATGTTTGGACTCACCACCATAAAAACTTCATATCCTAAAGATAGGTTTTAAGTCTGGTGTTCTGGAATGCACAAAACCAGCAAATTTTTTTAAAAGAAAAGCACCGCTATTCATTCTCCTCTTTATATCATGAATTTTATGTTAGTCATTTTGTACACACTTTCCACTCATTCATTCTATATTGTGTGACAATGCACTCTGCTCACTGTGAAACTGTCAGTTTTACACACCAGTGTGTGATAAATACATAAAGAGTATAGCAGCAAACTCACACTATGTTAGTTGAATATTTTTTTGCATCTTACCACATTAACTTTAAATAGTATGTTACATATTCAAATATAAAACTATTACATAAGAGAATGAATGTTCAGTGCCTTCAAATTTTGTTATGCAGTTCTGCACAGCCTATGTGTGCTAGCTAGTCTTTTCTCAATCACCTGGTATGGAAATACTGCACTACTATAATAAATGCTGTACACTGACAAACTATGAGCTACTTGCTGGTTTGATTGTATACAGACTTTGTATAGACACTAATGGACAGCAGTCACATTCAGTGATAAAGGTATGAAGTAAGACATAGGATAGAAAAAATAAATAGGACAAAGAAGAACTCCTGCAGTATATGTAAAAACTGATGTTTTCAAGTAATAATGTACAATGGTTGCTGTGTGGAACTGCATATAAATTTAATGGCATTTAACATTCACTCTGTATATCTTCAAACATTTTTTACAACAACAACAGAAACCAAAAATGGATTTCAGAAAAATAAAGTGTACATTTTATGTGCCAGCTTGAAATTTTACTGTCCTAAGGAACTGGAACCCCAAGAATGTTTGGGCCCTGTCATATTATTACTCTGAAGTTATTATTGTTCAGTATTCATGAATTTACTTATTCATGGTCAAGCTCCCAACAATACATTATTACAAATTTTCTTTTAATGTTTCACAGTGTGCATTTCATTTGTTGTATACTCATGCTAAATAGCCACGGTGGTCTAGCAGTTAGAACGCTGGTCTTGTAATCCTGGGGTCTCAGGTTCGATTCCCGGCGGTGCCAAATTTATAACTTGTGTTGGGCAAGGCCGTGGTCTAGGCAACATGGAGTTTTCCTCCGGGGGCTTCCCCGGTTTCTCCGTGGCATCCCAACAATTACTCCATTCACACACAGAAGAAGGCAATGGCAAACCACTTCTGGATCATTTGCCAAGAACGTATATGAACAGGCCCCAGTCCGAGAAAAGGATGGAAGGATCCTGTTCTTATGGACCTGTCGTCAGACAGAACACTAAAAAAAAAACTCATGCCTCCCAAAATAAAATATGTGACTGGAGCCATCCCTAGCATAGAGCAAGTAAGATAGCTACCCTCAGCCCTGCACATCAACATTACTATGTATGAAATATTCTGTGCCCAGTGAGTTGTCAGACAGCATATTAAAGTATATTAACTTCACTGTTGTATTAGAACAGAGAAAGAATGCATTCTTTAACAAATATAAAGCTTGGTGTCAGTAATATTAAACATGCAGGATACTGACTTTGATTTTACTTGTACAAATCTGAAGATGGGGCCCTGCACCCCCCCTAGGGATGGCTCTGTATGTAATGTTAACAGTGTAACTGAAAGTGTAGAAACTATGAAGAGAAAAGAGAATAACACATACTTCACTGAAAGGGTACATTTGTATGACCTTATTCCTGATCATATCAGAAATGTATCCCTTGCGAATATAAATGTATGTCTGTAGTCACTAACAGATCATGAAATAAAAATCATACAATTATCCAGAGACATGAAGAATACATATTCTGGAGGTAGAGTTGCAATAAGCAGTGCTATTAAAATGTCACTTTAATGTAGTCATCCAAGGTATCACATGAACACACCAGTACTATTCTGCCTGTAGACTGACATGCTCATGCGCACTAACATAACAATTTATATAATAAAACTTTGCCTTGTAGAAAACAAAATAGTTAAACCACCACTGTACACATAATGTGGTTCATATAATTGAAAATCTAATTTACATAACAATTATCAAATACACAGACATACAACATTACATTAATACTTCCTCTCAAAATCTGCAAATACTTGGAAAATACTCTCATCTTTTTCTGGTACTTAAAAAATATAATCTTGAACTAATAATGTATTATAAAAGAAACTTAAAACCTCAATTCATAGCAAAACAGTATATATTTTTATATTAATATATATATATATATATTTCTTGCATTGTTAATGACTAAAGCAGTTGTTGCATTATGCTCTGCATTTCAATGAGCATTTAACATATAGTAAATTCATAAAGGGGCTTTTGTATTAGTTCAAAGATGCACACTGCAATTTTACAATGGTCTGAACTTAACAAGTATGTCTTTTGTCACTTTCACAGTCCCCATCACACAACAATCAACCAAGATATGTCAAGGTGTTACAAATCTTCATTTTATGCTTCTTTATGATCATAAAGGAAATTTTTCATCATGCATAATTGCTGTACTTTTGTCAGAGTAACTGACCAGGTTGGTTAGGACTGCTAATGTATGATGACCCAGAGATTCCCCTTCCACATAACTGTACATATCACAAACATAATTCTATCACACTCTAATTCATGTTTGTTTAAAATTACAACTGTTTACAAGTCCTCAAACACTTACTGCTGAAGGCTGAAGAGGAAGTTCCCAACCTCTTTGCTTTTACTACACATTAATAAAGACCTTAAGATGATGATGCTATATCAGCAGTTCTCAAACTGTGGTACCAGTACCCACTGGGATACCAGAAATGCTTTCCAGGTATACCATAAATACTTATTCATACACACACTTAAAGCATAAATTAACTGTTTTAAAACATAATGGTACCTATATGTCCCACCTGCTTCAATAATCAATAATTATTCATTTTGTACTTATGGGTTTGCCATAATTCTCACAGCAAATACGAATTATTTTCTTAAACAGCATAACAAGTTGATCTTTGTAATGGTGAAGATTTGTTTTCTCTCTGTGGTAAGGACTGAATTCTTAAATATTATGTAGATAAGCATCAGCTCCAAAGGGTTACACACAAGCTATGAGCAACCCTGAGTCACAAATCATTTTAAAATTAACTGAGATTGTAGGATTCAGCAATGTGAAAGTTCTTCCCATTCTTATTCTATAGTACACCTATACTGGTAATGTGCATGAGGTACCAGCCACAAAAAGTTTGGGAACCCCTGTGCTTGATGATTCATGAAAGTTTCAGCTCATAAAAGTATGCACTTCCCCATTTTTAAATAAAATCCTATTAACAAGACAAACACACAACTCTTATACAGATATGCTCCTTCCTTACAATTCCTCTGCACATTTTTTCCCCTTTTTCACATGTGGTGCAAATATTCTTTTTCACATAACTGGAAAACAAAACATACTTTTATTATAGTTTAGTCCACTAATTATATCTTGTTTAGAAGAATCATGTAAGTACAGAAATTATACAAACATGATGCAAACCACTAAAACCAATTAACTGTAAAGATCAGGTGCAGGATCAGTTCACATCTCTTGACTTAGAATGTGATTTTAGATGGCACCAATGACACTAATTTAAAATAAACCATGCTTAATAATAGTTTCAACCGTGAGTTTTCAAATCTTATAAAAACAAAATAGAATACTCAAATAAAAACAAGCACTATTTTATACCACAATTAAAATTTGATGTTATAGCAATGGAAATTTTTAGGTCGGTCTTCTGGGTTGTGACACCACATGGTCTTGTACGTGGTAACATGTTGGAAAACCACGTCAAGACTGCACAGCATCACAATCCTGAAGACCACCACTGACTTATACAGTGTAACCTCTATCCATCGTTCCCCGAACTATGGTTTTCCCGGATGCATTGTCCGTTTTGTTCGGTCCCGGATACATCCCATATAAAATAATGTTACATTTTCCCACTTCTATCCTTCCTCAAACTATAGTTTTATAGCATCGATCGTTCAAAAATCTTAGACCTGGCTCACAATTTTCCCGCAATGATCGCTTCTGAGAAATTATAACGAAATTTACGCAATGTTTTTAGAATTTAAAATGCTGGGTTTTGAGATAAATTAATACCGAAAGACGCACAATGTTTTTGGAATACACAGTAGCAGTAACCTGTTATGTCGCCCAACCAGCACAGATTCTTTTGGAATGAGGGGTCGGCGGTGCAGGGGTGATAGTCGGAGCGAATGGCGGTGCTCATTGTCAGAAATTTTATGAGTTTAATTAGGGTGCACTCATATTTCGTTCCAGTGATGCCAGATGGCATGTGCAGTGTGAATTTCTTCACAAATGCTTTTATTATAAGTACAAAGGAAAGGCGGATGGCACTTTTCATTCTTCTGGTTCATCTCGTTTCCAGTGATTCAGTGTCTTCTACAGCTACGTTTCGTTGAGTTAGGCAGTAATAGTATTTCCATTCTTCCTGTTATTGTTTGCGAAGGGGATGGGAGTGGTGAGGAAGAGGAAGACGACGAATGCAAGCCCGAAGCTGTGCCGAGTTTTGCCGAAGCACACCCTGCATTGGCAAAAGTGAAGTCGTTCTTTTATGCGCATAATATTAGTGAACGTGACGAGGAAAACATTTTGAACGTGGAAAGGGCTGTGTTTGGCCTAAAACGTAAAGTTTTGACAAACCAGATGTCCATTAAAGACTTTTTTGGTAAAAAGCAGTAACTTTGAAAGAGAAACATTCAGTTTTTTTAAAATTGTTAATGCTTTCCCGCAACTATCGTTTTCCCGTATTCATCGTTTTTATTTCCCACCCCTGCCAAAAATGATGCATCGAGGATTCACTGTAATTGTTTCTTCAGTGGATTTATGTCATCAATGAAGACCTATCAGTACCAATGAAAATAACTGAATTTCAAAAACATTTCTTAAAAGAGAATTCTGGAAGGGTAGCATTCAAAAGTGAAAATGTCAATCACGGAACCCCATTTTGTAATACAGATTTATGCAAATCAGTTATGCTTATACTTTAACATCAAACCTGTGTAAAAGAATACTGCGTTATACAAACAGAAAAGTCAATTAATATGCATGATATTAATGCCAGTACAATTTTAAAGAGAAGTACAAATAATAAAGTCACATTCCCATCACTATTCAGTCACAAGCCCAAAACTATATGAAACCAACCAGAGAAGGGTATTCCAGAACCATTCTCTAAATTTCTTAATTAACAGACTATGGAATGAAGAAACATGTACACCAGTTTTGTTCTACAGACAAAGAATCCTGAAGTCTGGATTTTAGTGTATGGTTTGCATAAGATTTTAGCTATCACCAATGACACAATTTTCTTGAGTTTGATTCACCTGCTCCAACTGGTCCAGGATATGGTCAACTACACTGCCTACCTGGTTTACTCCAATAATCTGTTCGTGAGACTGATTGAGACCATTTCTATGTTGCCATCGCTGTTGGTGTGACTGGTTTACCTGAAACAATTGTTGTGAGTGGTTCTGCAGTTCTTCATGGAAATTATGATGGTCAGCACAGTCTTCAAACTGCTCTTCAGAATGGTTGGAATTTTGATGTTGCTGCAGCAAATGATCAGTATCTTGCAGTTCAATAGGCAGAAAGATGCGCTGCGAGTGTTGAATTGGTGCCCTGCAAAGTGGACACCTATCACATCTTGCTCCACACTCACCACATGCCATCACATGAGCACAAGGGAAGAATGCAGTATCTATGGCACGGTCCATGCAAATGCGGCACGACATCGCTTCCAGCAGCCTTGCCAATCGTGCTCGTGTAGACTGTAAACACAGTACAAATCTTTTAATTCTTGACAGTTTATATTCAGCCACTAATCTGTACAAAGACTATCTACTGTAAGAACTGGCAGTATGTATACTTACTTATAATACTTCTAAATAATATCAACTGTGGCTGGCTGTAGAACATAACTTGAACATATTACATTATTGCATTTGCACTGAATTTCATATAGACCTGTTTTGCTAGCTCATTCTCAAAATGTCTCAGTTAAATAATTTTGCTCCTTCCACAGGAAACAAGCTAACATGAAAAACAAGAGTTTTCACTACATACTTCACCAATGATGAAAAATTCAGAAATAACAGAATATCCACTTTAGAATACATAAACTGCACATCTAGTTAACCACTGTGTACTCCAGTATAAAGGTGAGTCAGAAGTATGTTTACAAACTTCGTGTGCATGTTCCAGGACCAAAAATAAGAAAAAATGTTCCTATGAACATGGGGTCGCAAATGTTTCATTTTGGAATTAATATCCAAAAATAATTTTCAATGTATGCCTTTATTGCCAAGTATAAGGACAGGGATGTTTCTTTATAACAGATGCTCAAAGGTTGCTCCTCCATGCTCCACACATGCACAAGCACAAATGAATTCGTTCGTACACACCAGGGTTTCCGCGAATCATATGGCAAGCTTTCCGCACACGTTTCCATAGGTCATCATCGTTTATGGGTATTGTATAAACGATGGACTTCAAGTGACTCCACAGATAAAAGTCCAATGGAGTCAGGTCCGGTGACCTCGGTGGCCATGCTACTGGGCCACCACGCCCAATCCATCGCTGAGAATACTGTTCATTGAGATGATATCTGACGCGATGGGAGAAGTGTGCTCCGTCGTGTATAAGCCATATTTGTCTTCTTGTATTCAGTGGTACATCTTCAAGGAGACGTGGCAAGTGTCTTCTTAAGAATCGCTGACATGAAGGCCCTCTTAGACGTGATGGAAGCATGTGTGGACCAATAAGCATGTTGCCAACAATTCCTGCCCAGACGTTAATTTAAAATCTTTTCTGGAAGCTGGATTCACCATGATATAAAGTCAATTCACTGAAATTTATTTTTGGCTATTATTTCAAAAATGAAACATTTGCGACCCCATGTTCATAGGAACATTTTTCTTATTTTTGATCCCAGAACACGCACACAAAATTTGTAAACATACTTCTGACTCACCCGGTATAGGTGTGCTTATCTGTGAGCATAGTGATCACTGATGGCCATTATAGATTACAGGACTGTGTTCATACAGTAAAGGTTACCATCTTTATATTTATACTATAGCATCCTACTGTGTTCGAAGTACAGTTATAGCTCTATTACAGTGTCACTTTATACACAACTTTTGCAAGTGTTTGTTCAGTTTCAGTATTGTATTATTGAACTGACTCAATGGAGTCACAACTAAACTTGTTTTGACCACCATTTGGTCATCTTCAGATTCGCTTTACACTACAGCATCTTGTATAAACAAAGTAGTGCGAAAGTGTGAGGGGAACCTGGAGCCAAATGAGTCATGGCCAAAACAAGTTGTCAAAACATGGCCCCAATGAGTAACTGCAATAGCACAATAGTGTAACAACAAACGTACTCAGAAAATGTGTAGAAATGTATGGTTCAAAGAAATTAAACTGTACATCTTTAACATGAAAAGAAAACATGCTCTATGAGCTTAGATCCTGCCTGACCTATTGCTCATTTTGAATCAAGCTGTTTTTCAAAGCTAATTTAATTAAAATTCTGAACTCTTCATACCCCTACTTTCCCTTAGAAATATTCTTACACATAAGTCTCCAATATCTAACTGTATTATTATCCAAGTCTGATCTATGCAGACCTACAATTAGGAAGGAAGTAACAAGATGCTGGTGAAAGCTGCACAATGAGGAGTGTCATCTTTATGAGACATCACATAATCAAATCAATGAAAATGAGACATTCAGGACAAGCAATATGCATAGAAGATGAAACATGTGTAAAACTGGAGCAGGAAAACATGAAGAGAAGAGACTTCTGTATAAATGGGATAATATATTAAAATTGATTTTTTTGAGAGTATAAGGATGTGGACTTGATTCATTTGATCATGATAGGGACTGTGGCAGGTTCTGTAAACATGGTAAAGAACCGTTGGATTTCATATGAAGGGTAGGCAATTTTTTGATCAACTGAGTGGCTATTAGCTTCTTAAGAAGGACTCTGCTCCATGAGCAAATAATACACAATTCAAGTTCACACTTTTGGTAAATACCTTGCACTGTTCAATCAGACAGTCACTGTTAGTGACATCCTCACCACTCTCATGCTGACTTCTTCCTCCAGTAGAAAGTCGGTCAGTATTAATTAGAGAGGGTGAAGCAGACACCTGAGAACCCCCATTATTTCCAGAATTCTGATACAATGCACGCCTTGCATTATCATACACTTCACGGCACGTACGTCGAATATCAAATACATATTTTTTACCAAGAGATGTATCTTCATTGAAGATGGACACAATTGTACCCTGCAATGTAGAACAACATATTGTATTAACCCAATTCAACTGATATAAATAAATGGTTACAAAAATTCTGAAATAAAAATACAGATAGTTTTCAACTATCACAATTTCAACTAACACAGTGTAATTTTAACACAATTTTAAAAACAGGGCTCATTCCTGACTAACGTACTTGGTTCAACACAATTTTTGCATGGTAGTGGTATATTCTGTTAAGTTCTGGGATGGGCAAGTGGCTATGACTGATTCTTTTAAATTCTACTCATCTTCCAAGTGAAATAATAATTAGTAAAGGGTAATAAGCATGCTGGTGGTAGTATTATTGGTGGTCAAAGTAAGTAATGTAGAGAAGTTATATGGGAACATTGAAAAAATATGTTATTGTCCGAGTTACTGGCTTAAACAAAGTGATGCTTCATACCACCTGTGCAAATGTTAACACTAAAAACAAGCTTGTAACAGGACCACTATCTTTCCTTAACAAAAGACTACTTTTTGTATCATTCGTTTTATTTAATGTGTCAACAGGAGTATCCGCATACATAAGACACCAAGAATAAGACAGATTTTTCTGGCAAACTGCACCATCTAAATCCACTGTACCTTGGCACTATCAGATCAAATGGGCACTTTATAACATTCAGTATGTTAAACACTGCAGGAATAATTTAATTTTGATACATTCTACTGCATTAGCCACAACAATCATGTATCAAGTTACAAAAATATAATCAGAAGCAGGTTCATCAGTGCAATGGATTCTCCCAACATCCTCTGTGGCATCCAAATCAAAGACACCCTGGCTGCTAGGCTGCTGCTCATGCCAGCTGCACAAAAGCTGTGCAGGGAACACGGATTATTCACGAGCAAAACATTTTCATTCTCAAACATTATTTTTTAATCAAAATCATTTGCCACTGTTCATGAAGCTCTCAGCAATGAATATTTTCACAAGCAAGCACCAAATAAAGAACAATACACAATGCAATATCAGCACAAAGGAAATATTTGTCCAGGACAAGTGCATACTGAGCATCCAAATAGCTGGAATTACAGCCATTCAGATTTCAAGCAGTGGATCATCTGCAACAATGGATAGCTGCAAGAATTCAGTACTGCCATCACTTTTATAGTTCTGTGAATGACAAGGTTAATAGGGGGGTTGCATTTTAAATGGGGAAAGACAAGAATAATTTTGGATAATTCCATAAGTCAGAGCATGTACATCAAGTTTCACAAAATTATTTGTCACTAATTATTACTTTGAACTACACTATATATACAGTAAACAAATATAGAGCTACAATTATGTATAAACAGATAAACAAGTTCTCCATAAGAATTATAAATGCCAAATCTTTGTTACTGTAAGGAACTGAGTAAGAGTTTGATTTATGTATTATATTGATTTCCAAAATGGTTGTTACAAAGTAGTAGCAAGAATTCAAATTGACAACAGGATAAAAAGTTTAATGTTAACATACTGCATTACTGTATATAGTACTACATTCAATATGAACTATGAGGCAATTAATAGGTACAAATACAGCATTCTTTTAAAGAGAGGTGTACAGATTAATGATACCTTGAGATCTCTTATAAATTGTGCAGTCACAGCACTCCGAACTGTCTCACAACTGTAGAAAGCATGTTTTTCAGTAATTGCCCTGTATACACCACTGGCTGCTTGTGAAGATTCCAATTTGATCTGCAGGGAAGCCTCATGGCCATCTATGTCAGCATACACCAAATGAAACAATCGACGCTGCGATGCTGCAGTCTGAATTGCTGTATATGGAATGCTGAAAATAAAACCTGAATATCAGTATATCACCACTAAAGTGTAATGTTGAGAACTAAGGTTTTCACAGTGGTAAAGAGCACTTCAGCCCTGAACAGAGAGGCTGTATGTTCCTCTGAAACAATGGTATCTTTCTACAAGTCTATGTAGTGTTACAACCCAGAAAACATAAATTCATTAACTAAGTTACTTTACTCTGCCAGAATAAACATTACATGATGGGATCAATAAGTTAAATGTACGAAAAAAGCCAGATTACAAACCTTTTATGTAAGTATATTACATCAAGTATGCTCTCACATGACCTCTTCCTGCTTTAAAACTGCTATTTTACCTTTTACTGAGTCATGCCAAACAAATGTGTGACTTACATAAGTTACACTCATTTATATACAATTCTGAATATGCAATGCAGCTTTCATCTTTCTTGCTAAGAGTCTTCAAAGTTTAGTCTACAGTCAGTACATGAATTCACAGCACACAATAAATTTAATATGAAAGTGAGTTAAAGTTTAAACTATTTTAAAACCCCAAGTTGTTATATGGGCCTATATCAAAAACATGCTTAATGTAAAATAAATTGAGAACATTAAACAAAAGCTTGTGGGTTTGGTGGGCTGATAGCATCTCACTACTACATTATGAAATATTACACAGATCCTCAAACTTGGAACTTGGTGAGAGGGTGTGGACTGCATACACACATCAAATTCAGGATTGGGTCCTGTGGCAGGCTATTGTGATTATGGTAATAACCCTTACCATCCCATAAAAAGTACTTAGCAGTCACTATAACCTTCCTGAGAAGAAAGACTCTGCTGTGTGTACTCACAATGACTAGGGATGTGAATAAGATAAAGCTGCCACTGGGATGAAGATTCTGAAGATTAATTAGCATCATGCTCCACAGACGCTTTTCATCTAGAGCAGTGTTCCACAACCTTTTTTCGCTTGTAGTACACCATAATTTATCAAAGACACATAATGGCACACCACAGAATATCACCTCACAAAAAGGGAATTCAAAATTATACATGGCCATAAATATATACCTATAAATATGCCTTGCCTTGTAAGAATAAAATTATCGATAAAAATGAGTGTGTGCACGCATGTGTAGGCCTACATACATTACAAATTCTAATTATGAAACATAAAATATTGCTTACTTCTATCTAAAATGTGCATATATACAATTTCTTATAAAAATTTATGACACACCAGTTTCAGAACACAGTTCTAGGGAAGAAGCCAGATGGGCCCTGTAGCAAGTGTGGACATGGTGTCAAAAAGAAAAATCCTGCCCCTTTGAGGAATCAAACCCTGGTAATCCAGTCCATAGCCAGTAACTTTACTGACAAAAATGAAGAGATAAACTTATAGCATCCAAACAGACAACCCTTATTTTAAAATAATACTTAATGAAGTAAATAATCTACCCAGTGTTCTGCTTGGTTGTAGTGCCTTGCAGCTTACCTTTTGGGCCAGCTTCATCTTGTATGTTCTGTCATCTTCATACATTTCACTGTTAATATACAGTATTATACTTTGCACATTCAAGGAGCAACTGGTTTATTTTTCTAACAGAGTGTGATGATTAATATTAATATGTTATAAATCTAATATAAAATTACATACCTTATAAATTATATGGTATAGATTAAAACTCCATTATATTTGCTCACTTACACATGTAGTTACTAGCACTTTTGCTTTTGTATCTTAAAAAAATAAAAAGTACCTGAGTTTTTCTGCCAAATCTTCACCATGATGCAGACAGATGCCATGGGGACCAACTCCTAAACAGGCACCCACACTTCCCTCACTACTTGGCTTGCTGTGGAACACTTCTTCTCCAAAACTGTCAGAGCATGATGCTTCCTTCAGCAACCAGTATTCTGCTGTTGATGCCTTCATGCCCTGATAAATTCCACACATTAAATACAATATGTGACATTAAATTAAAAGGAATGCTAATTATAAAAGGTATTGCAACCATCTCATTTGCTATCCAAAGTACTAAAGATCAGGATATACAAAATAATAACTTTGCCTGCTGTCTTGTATGGCTGGGAAACATGGTCACTGACATTGTAGGAAGAACCTAGATTATAAGTGTTTGAAAACATGATGCTCAAGAAGATATCTGGACCTAAGAAGGATGAAATAAGTGGGAAATTTAGAATATTACAAAAGGGGCAGCTGCACGAACTGTACAGGTCACCTAGCATAGTGAAGATAGCGAAATCTAGGAGGCTCTGATGGACTGGGCATGTAGCACACATGAGGGGGGGAGGGGAATGGTACATACAGAATTTTTGTAGGAAATCCTTCTGAAAAATGACCACTGGGGAGACCAAGAAGAAGATACGAGAATAATATCAAGATGGAGCTTACGGAGGTTGGCTGTGAGGATGGTAAACTGGATGAAGTTGGCTCAGGATCATGTCCGGAGGCAGGCTTTCGTGTTGTCATTGTTGGACCTACGGGTTCTGCTACCAGGCAAGCAGTTAGTTAGATTATAAAAATTTGTTTCCATGCAGGAAAAACAAACTGGTACATAAATATGATAAACTACATTTAAAATGTTTTAGACAAGTTAAATAATCATTCATACATTTAAATCATTTCAAACACTGGCTAAACGATCATTCATACAAATCCTCTAACTTCTTGGAAATGTTCAAAATTATTGATTGTTTGTACCCACTTGGAAATCACAAAGTATCATTACAGAAATTAAACTTTGCATTTCTACTGGAAAATTCTACAATTCACCTACTAGCCTATTTAATGTACTCTTAGGATTCAAAGATGGTTGTCTTCTGGGTTGTAGCACCGTGTAGTCGGGCAGAAGTTCCCCAATGTTTCAGAGGTCCTTGCTGCCTCCATTATCAGGGCAACTAAACTGTATGGAAGTACAACAAAGAACACAACCATCTTTGGACTCACTGCCATAATAACCTCAAATCCTACTTGCTCTTAGAATTCATCTGTACCACCATCCCACAAACCCCTAAAATTTGCTACAATGCATTGCTCAGTCATAATATTGAACAACTAGAGCCAAAGAGACTTTCACTTCACAAAAAATAAATATTTCCTGCATTCAACATCAGTTTGTTTTTTTCTACAAAAGATACAAACATATGAAATGCAATGCCAAACAGGATGCTTATAGAAAATCAAGCTTACATCAACATTTCATTTTATGACACTCCTGTAATACCAGGTGCTAATATAAACTGACCTTCAGTCCCTTGTGTTCTACTGCCACCCTGTGTAGAAAATCTGAAGGCTTACAGTCTTCTCCAGCCCCAATTTGGGAGCCTTGTTCCAAAAACAAGCTGTGAGGTTGTGGAGATGCCAGGGGATCAAAATCACCAGACTCAGCTTGTACCATAAGTGCTGCCAACTTGGCAGTTACACCCCAGTCATTTACTTTAAGCCTACCTTCCAGAAGATCAAGTCTTGCATGAAGGTAAAACTGGTGCCTGTATGATAAATATCACAATATGCAATACGGAGGATAATGAATGCACAATCAAAATAAAATCAATTTGTTGTTGGTATTATTATTATTATTATTAATGATGTGGTTCATTTAAAAATGTCATCAGTAGCTAAGACTATATGGCATCAAATGGTAGGCTTGTTAATGAAAATGACAGCAAAATACAAGCAATCTTCATAGGTTTGTAACATCATCATCATTCTTGTTGTTGTTGTTTCTGTTCTTATTGCTTTATTATTCATCATTTGACAAAGAAGCTGATTTTAAGGTAACAATTTCCAGATTCATGTTACTAAGCAAAACAGGCACAATTTATCCTCTACAATTTGCACTTTAATTTTATAGTCTGGTTTTCAAAGGAAAAGCCTCCAACACTGACAGTGTTCTCTCTGAAATTGTGAATACAAACCATCAACTTTTATAATATATCCCCTAATTTTTAAACAATAAAGATAATATTAAAGAAAATTAGTAAGCAGATAGCAATAGCTGTAACTGTGACATTTTGTGTCATTTTAGCCATGTGTACAAAGGACGTGGGTATGAGCCAGGATAGCTCAGTCAGTATAGTGACTAGCTGTGGGCTAGACGACTGGGGAAGGATTCCGGATGGGGGCAGAGTATTTTTCCTCTAGCCTCTGCGTCCAGACCGGCTCTGGGGCCCACCCAGCCTCCTCTACAATGGGTACCGGGGTCCTATCCGGGGGTAAAGTCGGCCGGGGCGTGATGCTGACCACTCACCCCGATCTAGTGCTGAGGTCAAGAAAGTGAGGAGCTATACCTCCACTCACCCCAAGCACCTGTATGGCACGTAGCAGGACAAACTTTACTTTACTTTACAAAGGACGTGGGTCATTTTACTGCACAAACTACTAGGCCTAATAATATGAAATTTTACATCATGATTAAAATTTGTTGTTTACATTTTGAAATAAGAAATTCTAAAATGGTACACATAATAAACTTAGGATGAGATATTTTCCATCTAATTTGATAACATACTTCACCATATAATTTCCTCTTGAAAACCATTTCACATCATTATGGCAGTTAAGTAAATATTTGAAGACAAGCAATATTCAATGTGGATGTTTAGCATGAACTACAAAAGCAAATCTTCTGCACAAAAGGGAGAGGAGGAACAAACTTTGTGCAATTTTCATCACTCCCAATAAACAGTAACATGGAAATTGTGAATATGCTCATCTGTCAGTAACACGCGAAGCAAGCATGATGTGTTTGCTTCTTTCCTTCTACATTTTTCTTTCCTCTTTGCGTAATCCAAGATATATTTAAAACTTACACTTCCTCAATTAATTTTCCCCATTTCCCAGTTATTTTATTGCTCTGAGATTTAAACATCCATCTTGGCATTTAACTTTTAAATGACAACCTAATAAAACTCATTTAAAATAATTTAATAAAGTTAATATGCATTCTGTGCTCCAAATATGCACCACATTAATGTTTCTAACATGTTGATTGTCTGTCTGTCTGTCTGTTTCTAGTACACAAAGAACATATCATGTTCGTACACATGATGTCAATTTGGGAAACTTATTATATTTTGCTGAATTATTATACTACAATAATTACTTCCTGTGACTGTTAAATAATCCACCTAGTGAGTCATCTGCCTCAAGACCTAAGCAAATTATATTCAAGCTGCCTCCATTCCATGTTCATCACAATATATCTGGAGATGTCAACAAAGGACAGAGTCACCGGTAACTGCAATGGCCAGACTCCTTTAAATATGATTTGGTTTTGTTTGTTTTACAATGCTTTTGATAAATGTTACATTGTTATATTAGGTTTTATATCAGCAAGTGAAATATACATATGCATACAACATGGAGTATGTGTGATGTGTTAGGTTACACAACTTCCTTATTTTCGTTCCTTATGTTTTCATGTTTTACAGCATCCAAAAAATAGAATTTGGCCTTCAAAAAGGTCTCCCAACATAATGATGCTGCTTTGGGCTTTGGCACCATGTGGACTGGTCAGTAGATGCCAACATTTCTGGAAATGTAATCTCCATCTTCAGGGCTGAAGTTTCCTGTTTTGCCCAATCCTTCAAACTTCCTCTCCAAAACATCGGTGTCTATGAACCAATCCACATGGTGCCAGAATCTGGAAGAACATCATCATTATCAAGACTGTAATATTGTTACAATCATTCCAAAAGCTTAGCAGCAATGCTGATAGTAAAGAACTGAGAAAACTGCTTCCAACAACAAAGCAATGTTATTGCTACTGTAAATATTGAGCTTAATTACCTGGTTGAATCTTGAAGAAGAAGATGAGGAGGGACCCAAAATTTCACTCTTAGAGCAAAACGGTGTGGAGGAATACCCACCACCTGCCGTTCTATAGGATTGCGCAAATTAAGCCATAGCTCTTCACCCTTTGCTCCATGATATTTAAGGCCGAAATAATCCGACTCTTCGCTTATTCCAAGGTAGTGGCATACCTGACAGAATATAAAGTAGTTTAAAAACAACCGTGACAACGAGTCAGTTTTCTCTCTCCTAATGTAGCCTAAAAGAGGATCAAGACAGAAACAAAACCGAAAGTCTACAGAAACTGTCGAAAATTACCTTTTCCAAGCATTCTTGGCCTTTCGCCTTTGGATCAACTTTAATTTCTAATATCACAGAATTCGGTTGACTTACTAGACACCACATAATTGTTCGATTTGCTAGCCGAATGCTAGCACAACGCTTTCATTTTATAAATTATAATATGTTTATTAACTCCTTCACTACAGTGTGAATTTGGATGAATCCAAACACACAACACCATAACCATTGTCTACCAAAGCACATCAATACAGCAGCTCTCAATAACAATGAAAGCAACAGTTCGTACTTTAACCACACATAACTTTGTGGCGGTATTGCAAAACACATTTAACGTTCATTGGGCAATGAGCACAGATAGGTCCACCCCTTAGCACGGAAATGCATCTGAAATGAATAACCGATGAGCATTTCGTATCCATTCTATATTACAAGTGATATTGTGAAAATAATTTGGTTTATGTTGCAGTTATTTGTATTCGTGCGCCTTGGTTTATTAGTGTGTACGTGACTGTCGTCATGGGACAGCTGTGTTTATGTTTCTGACCCACTGCAGGGACAAAGTAGTACTGCAGCTACAGAACAATATTTGATACATGTCAATCACATATGATTGTTGAATCCGCGAATAAACTGCTTCTAACCCTTTCGTATTCCTGTGTTATTTACTGGAAAAGTGCCTGCAGTGTTACCACAGGCAAATTTGCCCCATTTCCCCTCAAAGACTCCATCTTTACATTTGGTAGTAGGCTAACCAGTATCTATATTTAAGAAATTAATAAATCTGAAACCGTGAAATAGAATGGACACTCACTTAAGCATGTTTTCATTTCCATCTTAATTGCCACAAGGAAAATTTTGATTACTATTATTAAAAACACCACTGAGACTGCAGAAAGAGTCAATGGTTTTTTTTTCGGTTGTTGTGACCTTAGAACTTATCACCAATTTTGGTGTCAAAGAAAGCCGTCTTCTGAGTTGTAGTACCATGTAGTCTAGACTCACCTCCAAGAGCAGGTTTTAGTCTTGGCCCTGTTCTTGTTGTACAGAAACCACCCTCACCAGCACTCCAAATCAGGACATTTCTGTCTTAAATTTTATACTACTTGGCAATTCAAAGGCGATTTAATATTTTTTGGTATATTATGTAATTACAACCAAAGATGATACTCATGTATACCAATATAAAAAAAGCCAATTAATTGTATATACAGTTAATTTGAGCTGCCTGAAAACAGAAGAGGATGCCAAGGTTCAAGGCACTGCCATGGGAAAGCCCCCACCATAAGCCACATGATACACAGTGTTAAGGCATGGCAAAAGCAGACAGCAGGACTGTGGCTATCAACATGGTTAAAGACTGCACAAAATAAATACAATTTCCAAAGTATCTACTGAACTCAATTTTATTTAATACTGTACAAGGTTGCTTTATTGCACAAAACTAGAAGTAAAACATTTACAGGATCTACTATCAATGACCAATACATTAATCAACATTCCATCAAAAAATATACAGTATAATACAGTATTAGTTTTCAATTACTCAACTTCCACACCAAGTATCAATATGGAATAGTAATAAAATGCTTGAGTTGGAATGACAAATATGAGTAAAACCATAAGTATGGTCTAATACATATCTAAAATTTCTTGACGATGGTGAAGAGTCAATTGAATAAAAATTTTCTTGGATATTATCCATCATCTAGTAAATATAAAACGTAAAACAACGTTTCGGAGATGGGACTATATCTCCGTCTTCAGGTTCCTACACAGTTGGTCCCACTAGATAGAGCTAATCCCTATCTCCCTATCTTCGTCCGGAGATAGGGATTAGCTCTATCTAGTGGGCCCAACTGTGTAGGAACCTGAAGACAAAGATAGAGTCCCATCTCCGAAACGTCGTTTTACGTTTTATATTTACTAGATGATGGATAACATCCAAGAAAAAATTTTATTCAATGGTCTAATACACATCAAAATGCACCCTTCATGAAAGAATACCTATAAATTTACTGTCATCAAAATGATTGAAGATGACGAACATTTCAACTATGAACAGATATGTTACAGGAACCTGAAATGGATATAAGCTTTGACAGAAGGTATAAGATAAAGATAAAGTTTACTCTGTACTCATTTAAGCACAATAATGAAGACAAATGGGCGAGAGAAGGTGTAGCTAACTTCTTCTGAATGATGACAATTTATATGGTAGTAAATGAAATGTGTGGGCTATATCCAACCAATACATCTATCCCTACACATGATGATGAACTGAAGAATACAATTATTAAATGTCTAGTAAGCCTCATGCCTCTAAGTTGCCACCAATTACTAATAAACCAATTTCCAACACCTGATTACAATAACAATATAATACAGATTATATTTCAACAACTATAAAGTTTATTTCATAAAGTCATCTCATGTGGCATACACTTTATGAAATGCTAGTAAATGAGTGTTTAAATGAAGTATCACAGATCTTCTTGATGTTACTTCAGAGAAGCCTGGTAATTCTTGTGGAGTTCAGGTTTAATGTCGTATACCAACTCTAACACTTTTGTGATTACCTGTTAAAAAATGTATATTATTTCAACAATATATAACCATGACCAATTTCAACACAGAAGGACTGTTATGGGTTCTGGGTTATGACACTGTGTAGTCAAGTATGTGGTTATCAATGTCTGGAAGAATGTTTCTCCAACACACCAATAACCATCTACAAAACTACAGAGTCAATAATACATAACATGAAAAGTGTAGTCTGGTCGATGTTAACCAACGTTTCAGAGGTCATTCTGCCTCCATCATCAGGGCGATGAATATGCCAATAGGGTGTGTGGGGCTAGGTTTATAGGTGCCAGAATGTGAATGGAGTAGCCTGCCCCGAGCCAATGGAAGCAGGCCCCACACACCCTATTGGCATATTCATCACCCTGATGACGGAGGCAGAATGACCTCTGAAACGTTGGTTAACATCGACCAGACTACACAGTGCAATAACCCAGAAAACAGAAATCTTCAAGAGAAACCTCATTTTCAGAGCTGAGAAGGCATCACATCTCAAATTTCAGTGATAATTTAACCCTTACCAAATATGCACCAAACTATTTTATGCTATATGTATGACTTTTCATGCAATTCTTTTACAATGGAAAGCTTTTTTCTCTTACTGAGTGCACATCCTGAACATTCCTTTTGATGTTGATGTGTTCTAAACGCTGATAAATAGCCTTTCACATGAAACATAAACATCTCTAAAAGGGTAGTTAATACACAATTGACAAATTCTCATTCATTCTGTCACACAAAACTCTACCACCAGATCATCTGTGCTTCTGTATCAGGGAAAATATTCTTGTCTGAGAATACCAAATGGCCTCAGGGCAGAACAGACCGGAGCAGATGCAATGCATGGTGCCAAAATGGTTTCTACAGGATTTTATCTTTTATTATGAGATAAGGAGAGTGAACTGGAGCAGAAACAGAGCTAACCATCTTTTCTGAATACTGGATACAAATTATCCCATACAGATTTTTGATTGGCACTTGTTAGAAATCTTATCAAAATCTGCAAACAGGAACCTCAACTTCAGACCATTTTAGACAAAGACCTACGATAAATATTAGCCAAATTACTTGTTTAAAAAAGCAAGATATTTGAACAGTGGTCTTTACAGAAGAAGTATGTATGGTAATACTCAAAATCTGCAGAAAACTAAGAAAAGCATTTACAATTTCAGTATCAACATACAAACTGAATCCACGTTTCAGGTAACATCACAAAAGGTTAGACTTCTTAATATAACATCAACCTCCAACAATGCAACATACTTGACCCAGTATTTCTAATTTAAATCCATCCAGCAGCCTGTATGCAGTACCTTGGCACAATAAGGGTTAAAATAATTTTATATGAAATTTACTTTCCTCCAAAACACATACGTTTATTAACAAAGCCAAAAATAAAAGATGTGGAAATTAAAATATATATTGTACATACAGCTTCCTTGTGTGTGTTGACAGCCTTCTGCATCTCTTCTATCTTGATTTTAGTATCAACTTCAATACGTGCTGCAACATCTTCCTTAGATCCCATGTGCTAAAAGTACAACTAATTTCAAGTCAACAAAATACTTCACATAGGATGCAGAAACAATGTATTCCATATGAACAACATTCATAATACTGATATAGAATGAGATTTTGATGTGATTACACTTTCCTTATTTTGTCACTATCATCAGCATTATCACCATAATTATTTTGGGTTAAAATGACATGTCAAAGTGGATATATTCACAGCCAATCTTTTTCATATCCATGTCTCAGCAAATGTACAGGAGACTCCCACTTACTGATATAATTTACAAAACAACAGAATTTATTTACATTAAATAAATATTTCAAAGATGTGAAATATGTCATAATACAGATACAATACCAACACAAACATAAATACAGAGTGTTTGAAAAGTCATTGTGCAGTTAACCACCAGTTAATGATCTGCCAATGCTACATCATACTGTTGGTGTCAGCGTTGCCAGGGCATACATTACTACAAAATCACAACTGCACAGTGACCTTTAGAATGCATTGTACATACTTGTTTGAGATATTTACAATATTTAAGAATTTTAAATTGAAGTAAATTCTTTTTCAGAGCCAGAGTAAACTGAAACAAAATTTTTCACTATCATGACTTAAACCTTAAATGAAAGATGGATGAATACTGAATAATTTGATTCCTGCTAAGTAATCACCTTTCTGACACCTAGTGAGGTTAAAATCGGAAATGTAAAAATAACGCAACACTTGAATATTTATTAGAGTGAAAGTAATAACCTATTTAACCTGCATCCATTGCAATATAAACCAAAAAAATTCTGAATCCTAAAACTGTCTTGCAATGAGGATATCATTTAGGAAAATCCACAACTAACCTTAGTTTCAAATTCCTTAAACTGTCGGTCTCGTTCTTGTCTGTATTTCTCAATTTCGTCTTGGGCCTCCTCCTTAGCTTGTTTCAGACGACGTGCTTTCCCTGAAACATACCATTTTTTATTTCAAGAAAATCCTCTCGGGTCATCAATTGCATCCAGTGATCAAATAAAACCAACGTTTCAGGACAGTCACATCATAACCCTGATTGGGACGGAAATTGTTCTCGAAACCATTGTGTCTTTTGGCCACTTGACTCGGTTAACGGACCGAAAAGTTATTATTGAGTTTCGTCGCTGCCAATGCATTAATATTTTTTTATATAGGTCACACTCCTTACATACTAGTTTATAGCTCCCGAAACTATTTTATTTTAAATACGTAAGTACCGTAAATTTGTGAAAATTGCTTACTCTTTCTAGCTTCCGCTACTTTCTCGGCAGCACGTTTTTCAGCAGCCAATAACTGTTGTATTCCTTGCGTCTGGCTAGCCATTTTGCACCATCAAGAGATCAATCATATGACGCGAAGTTAAAGTACTAATCGCCAGATAGCGGTTCAATCGACATTCACAATATGACCAACGTACAGACGAAACACGCAAATACCAAAGCGCGAATTTTAATGGTTACCATGGTGATATCTTCCATGTTTCTGGGTAGTTTCCTTCGGATTCGAATATTTATATTGTGACGTGTTGCGTTTGGCATTGTTGTACTCGTTTATAGACATTGTTGTATCTGTTTATTGACATTGTTGTATTTATTTATAGCCATTGTTGCGTTAGACATTATTGTGTCTGGCATTGTTGAGAGAGTGGTGAGAGAGAGTGTGGAAAGAACAGAGCTGTGAGTAGGGCGTAAGAAAACACTCTCCTTCCAACACACTCTCCAGTGGGGTGCTATGGGCCGATGTGTAAGCGAAGAGTGTGAAGAGCGCCGAGCTCGGGGGACCAGATAGACTCGAAGGACAGAGTGAGAGTATGTGTGTGTGTGTGTACAGAGACTCGAAGACTGTTGATGTGGCATAGAGAGTTGACTGTATGTGCAGACCTCTGTAACTGATTTAATTTGACGTGAATAAATCAGGGTTGACAATCCAGGGTGGCAATACCGCCCCAAGTTACAATATCGTTCACTGTGAAGGCATTAGTGTAGACAGGACTAAAATCACGGGTAAACAAATGTTAGTTCTCAACTCACCGGTCAGACAAATTGTATTTTTCAGATAGTTCCTCCACAAGAAACTATCATGAACTGTTAGCAAACAGTTGATCACAAGTGACCTAAACAGTGGAAAGTTAAACTACTACTTTCGGCAACTCTTAGTATCTGACACATATCAAACAATCAAAGTGATAATTAGAAGAACTAGCAAACTGCATTTTATTCTAACCTTTTTCCTACGTTCAGATGTTAAAAAAGTTGGTGTTGTATTAACATGGGCCCTCACACCAATGTCAGTTACAAATGTAGCTGTTCAATATCTGTAGATAAATGAGAGAGGAAAGAATAAAAAAATCACATCACTTGTTTGCCTTCATTTTTCACTTGTTAAAAATGAAAAGACAATTGAGTTTGTTGAGCCCTGAGGATAGCATTAAAGTAGATCTTAAAGACATATGGTGTCTGGATTCAACTCAGGAATAGTGGAATTTTGTGAATATGGTAATGAACAAGAGGGTTCCATAAAAAATGGGAAATTTCTCACCTATCCAAATGACTATTAGCTTCAAAAGTTTCTCTTCAATGCCTTATTCATTATTCATTCGTTATAACAAAAACTAAGCTAATGAAAAATTAATATATTCCAGAAGAAGTAGTCGATAGCTGGAAGATGCGGGGGGATATTTCCCATCTTCCAATACTCTAACTAGGCTTATAAGTAGAACAGATACAGTGTGCATTCCAGTATTATGCATTATACCCATGCCTCCCTTTTAAAGAAGCATGACACACAGTTGCCAAATGAGGAAACAACCTATACTGGCTTAATATAACATTATATATTTTACTTTTCACAGAATATACACATTTAATGAAATGTGCATCATTTTTACAAATTAATACACTAACTTCTGTCAGCACAATATATTTTACAAGATGTGGATGCCCTGGATATTCTTCCTGTTATTTAGAATGACTTTCTCTTGCTTCTTCTTTTCTTCTTTAAAAGCCAGGGTATTTGCTTTCCGCTCCATTCTTCTTTCCTGTAAAATATCACATAAGATAAATGAGCAGCAACAGCTCAGTCAGTAAAGTGACTTGGTACAAGCCAGGAAACTTGGGTCTGATTCCTGGAAGGTGATGTGATATCTGTTTTCTCCATGCTTTATCTAGATCTGGGGTCCCAGTAACCTCCTACCCAATGCTAATCAAGAATACAGTCAGTTGGGATGGAACCAGCCCTTCAAAGTACAGAATTTATAGGGATTTACCTCCTCATAATAAAGTACACCAACTTACTTTAACCACTGCAGCACTACATACTGGCATCAAGTGGTAAGAACAACATGTGTCAATCTGTTTTCTCAAGCGTACAAACAATATCAAGCAAAGCATTAGGTCTCATATAAAACCACCATAATAATTGGATAGACAGTGGAAAAAGGCACATGCCCACCTTGACATGATACAGTATGGCAAAGTTGCTTGTCCACAGGCTTCCTGCAAACCTTAGTGATACTGAAATGCCCTCACACAACTACGATTTTAATGAAAAAAACCTTGAAACATGTTTCTAGGATGGTTTTGTGTGACACCTAATGTTTCACACCAATATAAAACAGATGTTTACAGAAACAAGCGAACACATTCACAGTGATTTAGTCTTCACACAAAAGCTATTACCAATGATGACACTGATGCCATATTGTTTCCAACAAGTTCTTAATGCCTTTGCTATTAACAAATATAAGTTCTGAATTGAGGATCCTGGCTGTCTCAGGGTAAGATACTGGAACGAAGCATACCAGGCAACCACCAGGCTCTGAATGAAGCCCACAATAAAAAATATGTCATCTCTGCTAACCATCATCCTCATGATAACCATATTATCAGTAATGGAATCTGACCTAAGAAACCGATTCCAGAATCTCCTTAGGTTAGCAAATGCCAGGAAAATTCATGACAAAATACCGATGGGAACATTACAAACCCACTCACCCTAGTTCAGAATTCCAAAAACTGCAGAAATATCTGCAAGTACTTCAACTCACCCAGCTACATTCAGTGCATCAAATAAGGTCACAGAAGAGATATTAATGTGCAATTAAACTGCAACTTAAGGTCATGTCATATACCTTCCTGTATTGTCGCAAAGCCCTCTTCCTTTCAGAGCGTCCCTCTGGTGTTTCGTCTTTAGGGCGCATGGACAGTACAGATAAGGCTGATACCATTGATTCTGCTCCATCATCACAGTGACCTTCATTATCACCAATGTTGTGTCGGGCTAGAGCACGAGCTGTTAATCGTGTACAACCTGCATTAATGCCATCCAGTACTCCTAGAGGGATTCCTGTTAGCCCTGACACACGGATTTTCTTTTGCACCTTCAAATGAAGAAAGCATATAAATATATATTTTTCCACAAGAAACAAAGTTAAAAGAATACTAATCCTTTCCATTGCTTAATGTTACAGTAAATCACATTTTTTAAATACTATATACAGTAAAACCTCTCTAAGTTGGACACTTGGGGTTCCACGAAAATGTGTCCAACTTACAGAGGTGTCCACGATAGAGGTAAAGAGAAAAACCAGATTGTGGTCTAATGGCAATATAATCTATTTTCTTACATACACCAACTACTGTAGGCTTACTTGAATTAAGAATTAATGACAATAGTACTAATAATATTCTTTTGAAGCCCACTCCCATGCATTGCACATTGCACCCCAGCCTCAATAACATTTTCTAAAGTTAACTCCACCAATTTTCACTTCCCCATTGTAAAAAGAAAAATTTCACTTCTGTTAACACAGTACTGATGGACTTAACACTGTGTCTTCTGCAAAACTGTAGTCCAGTTAAGGGTTCAGCAAAAGAATAGTTAAACACTTGCAATGCAATCCAATGATGGGTCCAATGTCCATAACATAATCCTCCAGAGAGGATGCATTCATCAGTCAGAAATTCAAAACAACAAAATATGTAACTAAAAAAGTTTCCCTGAAAAGCATCAGAGATAAGTGCATGAACCTGTCCAACGTACAACAAAAGGCGTGTTCAAGTTCCAGGATAAAGGGGTGTCCAGGGTATAGGGGTGTCCATCTTGAGGGGTTTTACTGTATATCAAAACTGTTAAGACATTAACACATTTTTAAACTTCCTGGACTCTTATCCACATAAGTTCATATACAACATAACTCACAACAGCAATCGTTTACTAATTTGCCTGTTTTATGTCTCCACATATCATAAATTTCTTTTCAGGTACATCCATTAATCTCATGCAATGTATTTACTTACCACTGGTTCAGCAATAAGTTTTGGTCTATTGTACAGATTTGAATAGGTAGATAAGATAGATTCACAATCCCAATGTTCCTTTGAATCATGTGGCACTTCTAATGGTACTAGATCTTCATTCTCTTCATCTGTGTACTCGTGTAGCTGCCCAGCAGCATTTATCCGAGAGTCAGCCTCTGGTTCTAGCAGTGGTCTGTTAAGTTTGCGCTCTTCTTCCATTTTTTCAGCATACTGAATTACCAATTCTGAATCAGGGGCTATATGACCTTCAATTTCTTCACATTCCAATGCACCAATGTCAGTATCTCCATAGCAACTTGTGAACATCTATTAACAAGACAAAGTGAAGAACTGTAAACAACAGTATTTGGTCAATGAATAAATGACAAGCAAACAAAATCCAGTGCGGTTTTCTCATAAGGGCACCACAGATTAAAAAACAATTTGTACATCTATAAATAGACAGTATTCTCACATTATAAAATATCTGACAATAAGAGTAAGTAACATGTTACCATTAACATTCTTCTAATTTCAGACTGATAATATCTAAGCCCATTATTAAACATAAATGTAACATTCATCACAGTAACATACAGGAGTCTTAATCATGGCTATTACTTTATCATTAACATCAGCTTGATATTACTTATAATTTTAAATGGATTTCTGTCAAACACCAATTCCACTTAACACTGTAAAGTAGTACAGTGATAAGGCTTATAATTACCCTGACTGCTTTACACATGAAGCTATATATGGTCCCCTAGCAACCATCAAACAAAGGACCAAAGAAAATTGGGACAATATAATTTATATTATACTGATGTACAATTTAAACTTATGTAGGATTTGAGGTTTTCACAGCGGTGAGTCTGGAGACAGCAATTTTAATTTAAACTTACTTTGCAATATAAACTCTAAGCCTGGGCTGGCCCAACCAGTGGGTACTGATATCACAATCAAGTGAGGGCATGTGAACCAATAGGAGTAAGAGGGAATGCCACAGCCTGGCCAGCAGGAGGGGTAGGGACATGGGGGAGACAGAGGGAAGGAAATAGAGAGGTGTCCAAGAAAGAGGCCCTTATAAGGGCCCCTAAGTCTGATCGCTAGATCATCAGACATACGGGAGGTGGGTGGACATAATGAAGAGGAATACAGAGAGTGGAAATAAATCTAACTGAATTAGGATATTATAATGTTAACTGGATTTAACTGTCTTCATGCCAGATACAATGGTTGACTTTTGATGTGACACAGTCGAAACTTTAGATTCTATTCGTGCAGTATTGGTTGACTAGTTACTTGTCTCATTTACAGAAGCTATTCTGCTTAATATTATAAAATATGCGCTCCTTCAGAAAGAAAAATAAACTTTAATTTAAAAGTATTTTCTTGGTTATATGTTAGTTTCAAACACCTTAAATAATTATCCTTTACTGCATAATGTAGTCTTAAAAGCATGCAAATAAATCACCTGTTCAAAACGATCATCAAGGAGTGTTAATTGCTCATTCCTCCTTATCACAGAACTTGACAATGAGTAGTTGGTAAAGTACGATTTTGTCTCCTCATCTGCAAATGTATATTGTGGACCACAGAGACTGCCCAATTCATCATCATCTGATACATTTCCACCACTGAGACTGCAATAATATCACGTATCATCAAATATTTTCAGTTTAGGTTGGAATTACAATAATTGTATCCTAGCATTCTCAGTTATACCCCAAAACACTCACAAACATGTCTTAATTTCCTTATAAAATAATACAAGCTGGCTCAACAAGCAATAATCAACAGTTCTGGACCTTATTTAGCATGCATCATAACAGAATAATTGTCTTTTTCAGGTATGTATGCAGATCAAACTTGATCCAACATTTTGAACGTATTGTTAAATAAATAATTTTACCTATTTCATATTAGGCACTCTTCTTGAGGTACTATCCTTCTCTCCCCCTGCTTGTACACATTTGCCCCATCCCACAAAATTACTATACAAAAACAACACAGGCTCACATTGTTATTTATGAGAAATACTGAAAATCCCAAGTTAAATCTGGACTGTCCTCATGTTTCATCACCATTATTATCTTTTCACCTTTGCTTCACTGTGAAGGTAAATGGATAAACTAAATATAAGAAGTTTGTGAGCTGTGTACATAATATAAAAAACAGATAAAAAGTCAGTAGACAGTAAGGAAGGACCAATGCAGACTGTGAGCACTGACAACTAAATCTCAGGCAACTGAAGTTGTAGGATTGTTAATATCCACTATGTGTATAATGAATTACTTGGTATAGTAATGGATCACACACACATTGCCATAAGTACAATAACAATATACATTTTTTTAATGAGTTTGTAAAATATTACCTTTCAGTAATAACTTACTCAACATCGTTTCCATGTGACATCACATCTGAATCAATGTCACTACCACTTTCTTCTACATTTGCCAGTTCAATGAAATTATCTTCAAGTTCATTGTCTGGGTCTTCAAAGTCAAAATCCTCATCCATTGCAGCTACTATGTCTGGATCCAGATCCAACCGTGGTCCTGATTTTAAAATGCCATTATAATAACAAAATTCCAGTGTTCCAAATTCAATGTTACCAAATATAAAGTGTGTTGGAACTTTTATGAAATCAACACAGGCATATTAATTTGTCTTATTTCTATGTCAGACTTAAATTTAGCTACAAAATATTCAGCCCCTAAAAAGGACAAAAGCAAAAGGCACAAAATCTTTCACAAAGGATAAATATTCAATTGTAGAACTGATCCTAAATAATTAACTGAAATTTTACTGAACACTATCAGCCACTTATTCAGCTGCTCTAAACCTGTCAGCTACATTCAATGCTGGCATGATGGAGGCAGTGGGAAGAAGAAACTTTCGTTCTCAGTCCTGATTTACTAATTCAATCTGGAGCAATATAACAGAATTATGTCACCTGCATAGCTTTCAAAGCATCAAATGAAAATGAGGAATATGACCTGACATTGAAATACAATGTGGATGGTGAGTAGGTAATGATTTGAAATGAAATGACTGAGGCATATCTGAAGCATTCACCAGACATACCAAGCAAAACCACAAATACTTCAGTCCATAACTTAAGTCTATAGTGTTACTGTTACACCAACCTATTTGGTTTCAAATAACAAGAAGAATGTGATTACTATACGTATACAGAAGAGAGCATCAGTGTATAATTCATGCAATGAATATGCTGCTGGTTCATCAGACTTTATGATGTGAATATTCTAGTTACTCAAATTTTTTGATGGTGACATGCAAAGGGGAGTAAGAGGAAGTACTTTTATGACAGTACTATCCACTTAATTTACTGGTCCCTATTTCATTTTCAAAATGTTCTGGAATATAATTTCAATACATAATCTCATACTATTACAGTTATAATTAATTTTCAACTTCACACTTCTTCAATTTATTCTTTCCTGAAACATCCCAGGATACAAGGTCAAATTATAAAATTTGGACACATAAGTACGATGAGCCTGGTGTAGGCAAAATGTTAGTACAGTGGACTGGGAAATGTTGAAATTAAACTTTCCACTCGATCACGTCCATATCATGACTCAAGAAAAATGTAACAAAAAGATGCATATCTGATGAATTCTTTACAGTAATACTGAAAGAATGTTTAACAGCAGAAGAAGTGAGACAAACTATGTTACAGGAACAAAATCATGGAAAACCTCCAAACTAGCATGTAACTAATCCAAAATTTGCTGGGTAAATGCAAATTCATATTTTACCTCGACAGTAAACTTACTCCATAAAAATTTCAAATACTTTACTTAGTCTATGGACCAGTTACTATGAGGCATTTCACAATTTTCCTCTTTTTAAAGCAAATATGTGATTAGTACTGTATCTTAAAACAGATCACAGCCACTTCCTTCCACATCATTTCCAAATTCACAGTCATCCTACTATTCAAATTACATAACATAAGCAAAAACTCATTGTTAAGTTCACAGAGTAAAATATGTCTTCCATAAAACACTATTTCTACCTTTCCCAATTTACAGAAAGATTTTCTTCCTGTGTTACTCCTTTCACTAAGTAATTCATGAAATACTACTGATAAAGCCTCTGCAACCACTAATAAAATTTACCTGAATGAGGAGCTGCCTTATTAAGAAGTCCAACATCATCTTCAACTTTTGATGCAAACACAGATGATGGCAACTTCAATTTGGTAGCCTCACTGGATGACTGTTTAATAGGTTCCCAATCAACAGTTGAATTGTTAACATCACGTAAATGTTGCAGATAATCGTAATCATCATCAAAATATATTCCATATTTCTTCTGTTCCTCCTTTCTCTTTGTAGCATCCAAAGTCTAGTGAGAAGATCATTACAAAATGCTACATCTCAGTCCTAATATGTTCAGCTTGTCTAAATAATTAAAATTCTGTTCTTACCACAAATAAAACACAACAGTCATGAATAAATGGTTCACAGCTAATATACATACCTTAAATTTTGATAAAACAAATTAATAACATTTGTAATAAAAACAAGGCAATGATCAATATACAAATAGCTAAAATGTTGAATATATACAAGAAGTAAAAACAACAAAATTCCTTGGTCCACAAACAGATAACTACATAAAGTTAAAAAGTCATGCCAAACTTGTATGTGTATTTGTTCTGTATCATGTCATATCAAGGAAATAAATTCAATCACAGATTTTACATCAAATTCAGCTATTAATTTTCTGTCATTCAAATACTTTCAACGGACTGCCACCAACTGAATAATTTCATTAAATGTCATAATTCAAATGCTGCTGATTGAATACTTTCATTCTACTGTTGTCATTCAACTAAAACTATGAATGAAAACTACCAAATGATTCATCTGGTATCAAATAAAATTCAACACTACCCATTTGCAGTAATTATAACGTGATGATGTGTCTGGCATGCAGGTTTCAGGTATATTATAATAATAATTATAATAAGACATTAAGAACATATGATATGTATAGTTAGAAAGAAACGTTGTCCAAGTATGCTATATTTTATCAAAGATTATTCTTTAAAAACTAACAAGACAAAAATACATAGCAACATATGAGTATCAAAAGCAAGGGGAGGGGAGTTTTCCGCTGATAATAGTTTCTGTTTATGTCCTTATTACAAACATAAATCAATTATAAATGTATTAAATTCAAACTTACATTGGTCCTTTTATCAAACGAAGCTGGCACAAGAACATGCTGAGGAGCATTCTCATCAGCAATAAGCGGGTCTTGCTGGCTGCGGTGAACGAGATGGAAAGTTACCGCATTTTTACGATCAATAAATTTCTTTGATTTCGGCTGCAACAGCAAAGCAATATGCAAGATGGTTATTTCTAACCTAAAACTTTCGTCAGTCTCAAAACTAGTATGTCTTCATTTTATTACTACTAGTCACAATTACTCAACAAATGTTTACTCACACACCATTGTGTCCCAAAGAAATACCACACATCTACACGCAGAATTTTTATTTTGTCAGTTACTGACACAGTTTACCATATGCAACCTCATAAAAACCAAAGACAATAGATAATACCAACGATAGACAACCTGACTAAGACCACAAGTCACGACGACCATTAATACCGTCATTTCAATTCATCCGAAAGATGTCACTACAGATGAGACTTCAGGTCCTCATGGCGGCGAATATGATGATGACTGTCTTCAGTAGTTGTTTATCATAGAGGCAACAAGCACATCCAAAACGTCTGACAACTTATAAACTTCAGGACTACATGGTGCACCAGCCTAAAAGACAGTCATATTCTATGTCACTCTTAATAATTGATG